TGATGCTTAGGTATGTTGTGGCATATAACTATTTGCGAGTTGTCCTTTGTAATCTTGGGGTTTGGATCACGAAGCCATAGATACTGACCCTTCATCAGGAGAGTTGGGAGCCCCAAGAACAAGTCAAAGTCTAGCCTCAAACTCCAAACCCTAGACGTGTTTTTAGAGAACGCTTCGACCTGCACCATTGCTGTAGCTGGACATCCCAGTTGCAAAGTACTCCCAGTACTGTGTCGGATGCGACTGGGGAAACAGTAATGCGAAGGGGCGCCGGGAAAGTAGACTGGTGGTTCGGAATTGAAGGTGTAAGCATGTCCTTGTAACATAGTTGCTTTACTGAACTTTCGTGCTGAAACCCTAAACAACAAAACCCTAAATTGGAGTAGAAAATGTCTCAACTCACCAATGGATAGTCACAGAAAATTTGGGGACTTCCAACACTTGCGGAGCCTGACCCAAGCTGCAAGCGCTCCTACCGAAAGGCTCCACGGGTTCATACTTGAAGCTAGTTGGGCCCAAATACTCTACTACGTAGGGCCTTCATGGGATTGTAGCCGTAAGGGATATCCCTCCTGGAAAAGATAGAATATGAGCACAGCTTGGGCCATAGCAAGAGCCTTTAGTTGCGACCCTGAACCCTAAGATCTACTTCATGATGGTCCCAAGCTTGGATCATCCCTCTTTGCATCTGAGCTCCCATAGGATGGCTTGATGCCCATCAAGCCCGAAATTCAGCCCCCCTACCTTGTCACCTGCACTCCCCTTAACCCTAAGCCCTGATCCCTACACCCAAATCCCTAAACCGTAATCCCTAATCCCTGAACTCTAATTCCAGCCTCGCTGGCCCTAAAACTTCTAAATGCTGCCAACATCCTATAGTCGCGCACCCTGCAACGGGCCCCCAACTTAGGGTTTAGGGTTAAGGGAGTAGGGTTTAGGGTTCAGGGGTATGTCTGCAAGGCAAGTAGTGGATGCCGATGACGAGTGTCAGCAGGCCCGGCAGTGACTCCAAACATGCGTTTAGGGTTTAGGGCCAAATCCCACTCAACATGGATCGTAGACTCCACAAAATTAGAAACTGCATCTGCGAAATCATTCCTGAACATAGAAGCTCTCATGGCCTTGTGGGGGTGAAGTACTACACCTAGAAACCACCCCAGCGCATACCTCCTCCCTGGAGGAATCCCAAGTCCTTCACCACTATAAAGGCCACAGCCCCAATTCAAATTCTGAACCTTAACCCCTGAGCACTTGAACACCGACCCTACACAATGGACCCCAACCCATGAACCCCAAGACCCGTGCATCGGCCAAGTGGCGGAAAGCTCGTTTCACAGCTTCCGCGGACGCTGGTGGCTTCAGGCCTAGTGTTGCCAAATGTCGCTGCACTGCCGCGTCCTCCCAGGGGATGAGATGTCTCGTGCGGTTGAGGTTTGGTTTCGTCTTGACCACCATGAGCGGCAGTCATTGTCACGCTTCAATGCTTTATGCTGTTCAATGCTTCCGTATTTTGCGATGATTGGACTGAGCCTAGGACACACGTGGCTGCAGAACCCTCACGCCAAGTTCTCAAGACAAAATGTGCTCCAGCAACGACCATAATCTGGCGGAAAACGGAAGCCAACATGGTGTCTGATAAAGGAAAAAGAAAATGGCAACTACTGTAGTACATTAGGGTACATGTTGGAACAACATGGAAAATACTAGTCAAAATCGAGCCAGGGTTGCTGAGCAACCTGCCTTTTTGGCATCACATGCAGGAGCCCTCGGGCAAGCCCTTCAGTTACTTTAGTCGGTCATCTAATACACAGTTTAAGCTTTAGGTGGCGGTGGAGGGTCAGGTGAACTTAGTGAGTATACTCAGAACTCCTATCAGCCCTAGAGCCATGTCGGCCTGTCCAAATCCTAAAATCTAAATACTCGACCTTGCATAATATGATAGTTTTCATTCTCTCTTTTCCATTCCTCATGAAGCCCTCTCCAAGTAGCACAGGTTGACGCAACTCCTCCTTGACTTGTGAGGGAAGATCCCGCCGCTTGGGCGGGCGAATGTACCCGTTGGAGTAGAAATACCTCAGAAGGAAGGTCACTAGCGTCATGGGAAGAATTGCTAGCTCCCTCAAAAGCCACTCTCCTGAAGACCCCCCAAATAAGGCCCGAAAGTCTGCGATAGGGGGTGGGTGTTCTCGGGGGGAGGAGGGTTCTTTGGGGATGGGTTATAACATATTCTCACGGGAAGGAGTTGGGTGGCTGCATAAAGCTACATTGCTCTGCGACTATGTAGAACTGCTGACAGCATCGCTTTTGCTTCTTTCGGCGCGGAGTGTTCAGATCCTGCCTAAATCCTGTCATGACAGCCTTGGTGAATCCCAACACCAGAGACTCCTCAGGGTTACAGCCCCAACCAAACACTTCCCCCATAACCTGCGGTCTCAAAGTCTCGTCCTCCCGTGACTATTATCCCCCGCACCAAGCCCTAAACCCTAAGTCCTAACCTTCAGACCCCCAAACCCTAAAGCCTACACGCCGAACCCTCTATCCCAGACCCTAAACCTTAAACAGTAAACCTATATAACCCATTATAGTGGTTTCCATGTTCTTTTCCGTCATCCCCATACAACCCCAATATAACCCTAACATTGCCCCAATGGGTACACTTCGACCTACCATCTACGGTTGAAACCATGGGCCCGGAGTATGGGCCCTTAGGTCTGGGACCCTTATATACCTACTATCTACCCTATATGTACCCTTAAGGGCCCCTAAAAAGGCCTAAGTAGGCCCATATTAAGGGCCCATACTTTCCTAAACCCTAAACCCTTAACCCTATATATCCCTATATATCCCTATATATCAGGGACCTAAATGACCCCCACCCTCCCCCATTTCGACCTATCATCCTGGCGCCGGGCCACTGCTTCAGCTCCGCTTGGGTCCAGGTTTCGGCCTCGGGCGGCGGCAAGTCGCCGCAGAAGCCGGGAAACTCCTTCCAGGCATGCTTAGTTTAGGGTTTAGGGTTGAGGGTCCTACTTAGGGTTTAGGGTCCTACTTCGGGTTTAGGGTTTAGGGTTCTACTTAGGGTTTAGGGCTCTAGGGTTCTAGGGTTTAAGGTTTAGCGTTTAGGGTTTGGGGTTCAGGGTGTGAGGAAATTTGAAGCAGGGAGGCTTCATAATGGAGAATGAAGTGGAAGCTGGAAATACGTAGGGGATATGTCAGGAATGTAGGGGTTTTACTGGTGTTAAGTAGCTTAGATTCCAAAGTCATCTCAGTGCAGATTCATTGGTAAGTAACGCGGTTTTCTAACTAGGACAATTTAATCCGTATTCTTAACAGCAACCCAGTTGAGTTAAGGGGATTTTCCAGTATGGAGTTAACAGGTGGGTACCCTGACATAAAAGCTTGCAGTAGGCCTTATATGGGGAGACTAGGAGTATATGAGGGCTATGTAATAGGCTTACATAGGGGAAACTCTCCTGGAATTTCCTCAGATAGAGTGAACCTATAGTCATGGGGTTTATAAGGACCTCCAAACAAGATCCCCAACAAACAGACTGACCTAATTGTAGGACTTGTTAGGTTTACTGAGGCTTCTTGTGGCTTCTTGAAGCCAACTGATCTGGGCATTTCTTTTGAGGGGATCCCGGAAAACTCTAAGACAACGGACCCCACAAATGTGCCAGGCACCGATCCCCTGCACGATGGTCTACCTGCACCTCAAGAGTAGGTGAAGTGCTTGGGTACTGCCCCCACCCTGTAACAGTCTATACTAAGGGCCTCAATAAGGGCTGTATATAACAATATTACAAATTCTAACTATTATCCAACTGCAACGGAATGGGAGTAATGTTCCCAAACCCCAAACCTAAGAGTCGCCAAAGAAGCCATTATTCCACACCCTTTGGGGGTCCAGGTAAATCCTGAATCCAAAGCCCTAAGCCATTATCCTAAATCCAGTAGACTCAGGGGTCTAGAGTTTTGGGTCTCGAGTTTAGGTCTAGAGTTTAGGGCCTATGTTTCGGTTCAGGCGTTAGGGCCTATTAGGGCTTGAGCCCCGACACTCCTGCCAGCCATCTCAGAGGTAAAACCCCTGTAGCGCACCAAGTATACCAAGTAGGTACCGTTTACAGATGTTAGCGCCCTCAAGCCTGAACCCCATATAAACCCTACAGGTTTTGGCTCCTGTGGGGCAGTTGTACCCCTCAAGAAGTCAAATCAATATTTTCTCCGAAAAAAAAACAGGCAATGCAGCCACTATCCTGAATATTTTGGAGATCCTAAACACTAACCCTTTAGCATACCTACCCCCTTCGTGGAATCTTCAGACCTCTTCCCAACAAAACTCCTATATTCAGGACACTGGTCAGTCCCTACGACTTTGATGATCCTCTCCTGCATGCCTTGGAATTCTAAAGGTACCCTTGTCGGGGCTCCTGCATGCACTTTCGAACCCGTGGGCCGACATCACGCTCGTCGGTTTCCTGGACAGTGTTACGCATCGCGCCACCATCATTACAGGGTTTGACGTCTAGGCTTGACTAAAGACTATAAGGGCAATCTGTGTTTGTGGAGCCGTCAGGGACTTACTAGTTTCTACTTGAGTTGCCATGCGCATGAATAACGGCTGTTGTCCGTACAATTGAGACAACAAAGTCTGCAAGACTCAATGCTTCTTCAACAGCGCGGCCACTAATACGCAACCATCCGTGGGAAGCGACAAGTCTTTATGATGTTTCACGTACTCTTGGTTGAAGTATATAGCTGCCGAGTAAGGGAAAAAAACAGCACTGACCCTAGATAATCTAGTCTGTTAATCTCCGCCCAATATTACAGAACACCAGCCCCATGCTACACAATACTTCCTGGTATGGAATCGTAATCTAGTAATCTGGCGTATTAAATGTCAGGGATTCAGGGATATGGAAGGGCTTGGTTCAATTTGCGGAGATTACGCATTGAGCAAATGTTATGTTGGCGCACGACCGCGCTCTTGTTGTACAACTTGCCGCTAACGGGAGTTTGCCTACACCCTAAACGCCCCAATGCCTAAACCCTGAAACCTAAACCCATATCCTGAACCATCCTAAGGGCACAGGGCATGTAATGGGGGCATGTAATGGGATGCGAAGGATCCTGTTCAGGCTTGCATACCCTAAACCCTGAACCCTATGTAAACCCCTAAGCTTCAAACCGTTATGTACCTTAGGAGCAACAATGTTGTCTTGGAATTTCATCCTTGGGTTCTGGACCGGTGACACATGGGGGTTTCCCATCATTAGGGGTACCCTTTTGGGATCCCCAAAATGAACAATATAGTACTTTGGGATCTATGTTGGGGTCCCCTACTTTGGGTAACTACCAGATGAAGAAGGACTACAGCTAAAGCAATGCATTTTTGAAACGCTAGCTAAACACGCAAACCCTACCCACCTCAGGCTGAAAAGGCACGGCAAATGATGAGAGGCACATTAATGACAGCCAAACACCATGGGCCGAATAGTGCAAGATTAGCTGGGTGAAATTTGAGGTTCTGTGCGTGCACGCTTGTGCCTGGTTGTTCTGGCTCAGAAGGAGGTTGTCATGTAACGCAACGCGCTACACGTACCAGACATGTACACGCACGTCTATATATTTGATGGACTTGCCACGCCGAGACCTGCTAACAATCCAGCTTCGCGACCCCCGAAATTTACACCGGGCAAGGTCTAATGATTCACAGCCCTAAATGAACTACAACTTAGGGTGGGCTTGCTACAGCTTGCCTAATTTACACCTTGCGGCAGTGGCAAGCTCTACAAGCACCACAGAAGTATCTACTAGGTTCAAGTAATCCCTTAAAGATAAGATTTGATGAGGAGACCCCACATACAGAGGGGAAAAGGTATTACTGGGGTACCTAGTCTACCAGGATGCCCAGATTAGCCTTGCCCAGGTCGAAACAAGTTCCCATACAACTAGTTGGGGCCCAAGCAACCTGGGTTGCTGTTAAGAAACCTAGTTTAAGTTAGTATATTGGGGAAACCATGTTAATCACTCTATATACACGCTATGGTAGCTTAATCTGAATTTCTTAACAGCAACCCAGAATACCATATACCTATCCTAAATCCTAGGCCCTTAGTATCCTCCTTAACAACCCCCATAGTAGTCCCTGATATAATCCCTTATATAACCCCCTTGAAGGAGTTTAGACTACAGCTCATATACCTATCTAAATCCTAAGCCCTGCCCTGACGTCCTCCGTTTCCTCCTTTGGCTCTTGGACAGGAGGCGGCGCCGTTCTGGCCTGCAGGCCGAGAATTAGCAAGGAACTTAGATCAAGTTACCAT